GAGCCACCAAGGGACAGCCAGGAGCTTCTGTGTGCCATGGGCCACCCTAGAGCCACCCTAGAGCCACCCTAGAGCCACCGAGGGACAGCCAGGAGCTTCTGTGTGCCATGGGCCACCCTAGAGCCACCCTAGAGCCACCCTAGAGCCACCGAGGGACAGCCAGGAGCTTCTGTGTGCCCTGGGAGCCACCGAGGGACGGCCAGGAGCTTCTGTGTGCCCTGGGCCACCCTAGAGCCACCCTAGAGCCACCCTAGAGCCACCAAGGGACAGTCAGGAGCTTCTGTGTGCCCTGGGAGCCACCAAGGGACAGTCAGGAGCTTCTGTGTGCCCTGGGCCACCCTAGAGCCACAAACCCAACAGGCCCTGGGATTTCTGTGCTCTGAAGCCACCCTGAGAGACCCCAAACTCACAGGACCCCCCCCCCCAAAACTTCCTGAAATTTCTGTGCCCCCTGAGGGGCCTCAAACCCAACAGTCCCTGAAATTTCTGTGTGCTCTGAACCCCCCCCGAGACCCCCAAAACCTGCAGCATCTCCCCAACAGTCCCTGGGATTTCTGTGAGCTCTGAGACCCCCCAAAACCCACAGCAGGTCCCAACAGTCCCTGGGATTTCTGTGTGCTCTGAACCCCCCCTGAGAGCCCCCCAAACCTGCAGCATCTCCCCAACACTTCTGAAAGTTTCTATGTCCTCTGAGACCCCCCTGAGACCCCCCCCCCCAAATCCTCGGGGCCCTGTGGAACACCTGAACCCCCCTCCCCTCCCAGGGACACCCCTCAGCCCCCAGGACCCCTCTGGGGGGGAATTGGGTGGCACTGGGGGGATTTGGGGTGGCACTGGGGGGTTTGGGGTGGCACTGGGGGTGGCACAGGTCCCCCACAAGACCCCTGGGACCCCCTCGGGACCCCCCTGCCCATCCCACAGGACCCCACTCCCCCATCCCCGTTCCCCTGGGCCGAGCTGCACTCACAGTGGGATTTGGGGGGTTTGGGGGGGCAGTGCCAGGGGTGCTGACCCCCCCGTTGCCCCCCAGCTCTCCAAGCTGTTTTTCCTGTTCCCTGACCCCCATTTCAAGCGCACCAAGCACAAGTGGAGAATCATCAGCCCGGCCATGCTGGCCGAGTACGGCTACGTGCTGCGGCCCGGGGTGAGCCCCCCAAACCCTGACCCCCCAAAACCTGAGCCCCCCAAACCCCTGAGATACCCCCAAACCCTGAGATGGTCCAGCCATTTTGGGAGTGGGAGATTTTGGGGTGTCCCTGGTTCTGGTGTCCCCCAGGGCCCTGTGCACATGGGGGGGGTGTCCCGGTGGTTTTGGGGTACACAGAGCCTGGTGTACACGGTGGGTTTTGGGGTGCAGGGCCTGGTGTACACGGTGTTTGTTTTTGGGGTACAGTTTTTGGGGTACACTCTGTTTTGGGGTGCAGGGCCTGGTGTACACGGTGTTTGTTTTTGGGGTACAGTTTTCGGGGTACACTCTGTTTTGGGGTGCAGGGCCTGGTGTACACGGTGTTTGACGTGCCCGAGCTGCACCAGTGGATGCTGCAGCATTTTGGGGAGCACCCCCTGTTCGAGCCCCTGCCCCCCGCACAGCTGGTGAGGGCACGGGGGGCACCGGGGGAATTGGGGGGCGCTGGGAGCTACTGGGGGCACTGTGGGCACCTGGGGGAGAATTGGGGGCACTGGGGGGAATGCGAGAACTGGGGGAACGGGACACTGGGGGAATTGGGGGCACTGGGGGGAATGGGGGTACTGAGGGTTTTGGGGTGGCTTTGGAGGTTATGGGGTGGGACTGGGGGACACTGGGGGTGGCACTGGGGTTTGTGGAGTGGCACTGGGGGACTAACTGGGGATACTGCGAGTGTGGGGTGACACTGGAAGTTTTGGGGTGACACTGGGGTGGCATTGGGTTTCTGGTGGCACTGGATTTCCGCTGTCCCGGTGTCTGTCCCGGTGTCTGTCCCGTGTCCCGCTGTCTGTCCCGTGTCCCAGGCCGCGGACCCGCTGCTGCCGCTGCTGCCGGCGGTGACCGAGGAGGGGCAGCGGGCGCGGCGGGCGGGGCGCCCCCCCTGCACCGCCGTGTTCCGCCGCCGCCCCGACCCCCCCCCGTCCCGCTGTCTGTCCCGTGTCCCGCTGTCTGTCCCGCTGTCCCGCTGTCTGTCCCGCTGTCTGTCCCGCTGTCCCGGTGTCCCTCCTGTGTCCCCGCTGTGTTCCGCTGTCCCGGTGTCTGTCCCGGTGTCTGTCCCGTGTCCCGCTGTCTGTCCCGTGTCCCAGGCCGCGGACCCGCTGCTGCCGCTGCTGCCGGCGGTGACCGAGGAGGGGCAGCGGGCGCGGCGGGCGGGGCGCCCCCCCTGCACCGCCGTGTTCCGCCGCCGCCCCGACCCCCCCCC